AATGCAGGTAGGCACCTTCTCTGCAATTTGGAATGTTATAAAGATTCCCAGAGCACTTGCTCTGATGACTTGCTCAGGGTCACACAGCCAAGGACCCAAGACCCAAATCTTCCTGGGTTTCTAGGTTAGTGGCTGACCCTCTATCCATTATGCCTGTCACTGCTGCCTCTCACCAAAGATATACAAAGCAAAGAAGAATCCCTTGGCCTTTTGAACAAAGACCATCAATGCAACACCAAGCAACCAATTAATTCAGTAGGAAAATCAGTCCCAACACTTGTTTAGTCACAATTGTTTGGAGAGGCATTATAGTGAATAACTGTTGAACTTGGAGTCAAAATGACCTGAATTCAAAATCTTACTCTGTAAGAATTATTAATTACATATACCTCCTCTAGATAGAAAGGTGGGGCCTGCAGATGGAAAATGTGGTATTATGTCTGTCAGATATAGAGACTATCAGTTGATTTTGCTTAAACATTTTTCTTCTTTACAAGGGATGGCTTAATTAGAAAGGACTGGAAAAGAAAAGAGTGGCTAAGAAGACCATGGACAAATGGCAATAACAAAAATTGTTTGTTTCAGAATGACTTAGGTTCAAATTCCATTAAAACACTACTTGTGTGACCTTGGATAACTGATTAGCCTCTCTGAGTCTCAGTTTTCGTAAAAAGGTAGTCATGAGTCTCAAATGAGATAATATTTTGTAAGTGCTTTACAAACATTAAAGTGCTATATAAATGCTTGTTATTATTATGTTAGGCACACCTCTGACCATTGGGTATAAATTTCTTCTCTGTCTTCAGAATTGTGAACACTGAGGTTGAGGCTTAGGCTAGGATGAGTGCTCCTGACATGGTTAATGGAACTGGAACTGGCATGTGGAGTGTGGAAATAACTTATGATGAAGGTCTTTCCTAAAATTTTTAGGAAAGGTTTAGTATGGCACCTACTAATCAGAAAGTCTTTCTTCATTGTAAATTATTTCTGCATGAGCCCAGAAAGGACCTATTATTCATTCATTCATTCAATAAATATTTACTTATTAAGTACTTAACTACATGCATAACATGTACTTTGCCAAGTGCTAGGAAACATATGGCAGGGACTTAACAGAAGCAGAAGAAATTAAGGGGTGGCAAGAATACACAAAAGAACCATATAAGAAAGATCTTAACATCACCAATAACCACAATAGTGTGGTTACTGATCTAGAGCCAGACATTCTGGAGAATGAAGTCAAGTGGACCTTAGGAAACACTGCTAACAATTGGGCTAGTGGAGGTGACAGAATTTCAGCTGAGCAATTTAAAATCCTAAAAGATGATGATGCTGTTAAAGTGCTCCACTCAATATGCCAGCAAATTTGGAAAACTCAACAGTGGCAACTAGACTGGAAAAGATTAATTTGTGTCCCAATTCTAAAGAAGGGCAATGTCAAAAAAAAAATACTCAAATTATAAAACAACTGTACTCATTTCACACACCAGTAAGGTTAGGCTTAAGATTCTGCAAGCTAGGCTTCAGCAATATGAGAACCAAGTGCAACAATATGTGCACCAGAAGTGCAGGCTGGTTTTTGAAAAGGCAGAGGAACTAAAGACCAAATTGCCAACATTTGCTAGATGATGGAAAAAGCAAGGGAGTTCCAGAAAAACATCTCCTTCTGCTTCACTGACTACAGTCAGGCCTTTGACTGTGTGGATCACAAGAAGATGTGGCATAAAAGTACTGTATCATCTAACTTGTCTGTTGAAGAACCTGTATGCTGGTCAAGAAGCAACAGTTAGAATCAAACATGGAACATTGGTTTAAGATTAGAAAAGGAGTTTGACAAGGCTATATATTGTCACCTTATTTATTTAACTTACACGCAAAGTACAACATGCAAAATGCCAGGCTAGATGAATCAAAAGCTGGAATTAACATTGCCAGGAGAAATATCAACGTTCTCAGACATGCAGATGATACCACTCTGATGGCAGAAAGTGAAGAAAAATTAAGGAGCCTTTTGGTGAGAGTGAAAGAGGACAATGTAAAAGCTATCTTGAAGCTTAATATTAAAAAAAATAATAATCCAAGTCTTGGCAACTGTCTCATCACTTCCTGGCAAATAGAGAGAGAAGAAATGGAAGCAGTGTCAGATTTTATATTCTCGCTCTCAAAGATCACTGCAGACAACAACTGCAGCCATGAAACTAAAAGACGCTTGCTCCTTGGAAAGAAAACTATGGCAAGTCTGGACAGCATACTGAAAAGCAGAGACATCACCTTGCTGACAAAGGTCCATATAGTCAAAGCTATGGTTTTTCCAGTAGCAATGTATGGCTGTGAGAGTTGGACTATAAGGAAAGTTGAGAGCCACAGAATTGACACTTTCAAACTGTGGTGCTGGAGAAGCCTTTTGAGAGTTCCTTGGACAGCAAGGAAATTAAATGAGTTAATACTTAAAGAAATTAATTCAGACTAATCGCCGGAAGCTGAAGCTGAAATACTTAAACCATATAATGAGAAAATGAGACTCACTGGAAAAGACACTGATGTTGGGAAGGATTGAAGACAAAAGGAAAAGGGGTCAGCAGAGGGTGAGATGGATAGTGTCATGGAAGCAACTAACATGAGCTTGGACAGACTTCAGGAGACAGCGGAAGAAAGAAGGATCTAGTGTGCCATGGTCCATGGGATCATGAAGTCGGACACAATTGAACAACTGAACAAGAACAATAATAACAGGAGACATATATAGATTAATCTCATGGTTCCTACCTCAAGAGGGTTTACTGTTTACTAGGAAGGATAGGACAAGTACAGAAACAAATATAATACAAATTAGAATGCACTAAGTGCTTAAGAGATAAAGTGCTTGTTTAAGGAGCATGTAGAAAGTATTTCTGTGATATGTGTCTTGGAGTGGGGATGGGAAGTAGGAGAGGAAGGAAGGTAGGGAAGATTTCATGTAGGAGGTGATAAAATGGGAGCTGAGCCTTGAAGGGAAGAGCAGGATTTCATCCGAATAGAGATGGTGAGAAGAGTATTGCATCCATAGGGAAGAATAAATTACCAGTTGGCTAAAGTTGAAAACTTTGGAATATGTTCACCAGTGAGTGGCAAATAGTACAATTAGCAAGAAAGTAAAATAGATGAGGGGAAGCAGGTATGAGAAAAGATTGAAGAGGTAAGTTTGAGCCAGTCTGTGGAGAGCCTTGATTTGAGGTTCAGGAGTTTAGACATTATTTGTTGTTGTGTTTGTTCTTTGTTCTCAAAGAGGACCGTGACATCAGGGAGGTGATGACATGACTTGCAGTTGACTTTAATTTGAGTGAGGGAGGGCTGTGCAAGGTCTCCAGCCTCACTTTCTCCTCCAGAGCCGTGGCCAGATATTCACCAGGACGACTGGAGATGGCCCAGGAGACAATGGGAGACCCTGGCCCTTGTAAGCTATCGTCTTTTCAGGTTCTCACTTTAATTGAGGCAAGGCCCATTCAGTGAATAGGCCTCTTTAAGGAGTGAATCAAGGGATGGCTCCTTTAATTAAAAAAAAAATCAAACTGGGAGTGGACCTGCTGCAGGGACTGCTGAGGGAGGAGCTCCCTCAAATATATAGCCTTTTCTCTCTCTCTAGGTTTGAACTAAACTCCTATTTTGCTCCTAGCTAAAATAATTACTCCTTCTTATACATACTTCTATATATTCTAATTTCTAGAACTCTCCCAAATCCTGTTTGCTGTTCTGTTTGAATGGATTTAATCATTGTTGCTTGTTTCTAATGGCTTTTTAAAGTATAACCAGTATTTGATGGGGAGGATCTAAGCTGTTAAAAGTAAACTAGAAACTAACCCTCAGTCTTAAGAGCAATCAGGGAAATGGCTCTCCTTCCAAACCCAGACTTGTACCTGTATAGATATTTGAGAAGTAGCAAAGAAATTTAATTCTAGCCTTTAACTGGTCTCAGAAGAAGACTTGACCTGTCTCTGCCGGACCAGACCTTGCACCCTTGAAAGCTGTGGAATGGTGGCACAGTGGATGGAGTACCAGGCCAGGAGTCAGAAACAATAGAGTTCAAATCTGGCCTCAAACCAGTCAAGCACCTCTCTCTCTCCTGGGGCTGTTGTGAGAATCAAATGATATGATAATTGTTAAGTGCTGAGCACATAGTAATGCTATGTAAATGAGTTATTATTATTGACCCTCCTTCCAGCTATTGTACAAAGCTCAGCCAGACCACTGCCTTGCTAAACAATGGGTTAGGTAGACATTTAAAAGTTTGTACATACAATCAACAAAAGTAATAGTATTATAGTATTACAGATAAGAAATAAATAGATAGAGGAACTAGGAGCCTAGAGACCTCAATTCTAGTCCTCACTTTATCACTAACAAACTTTGTGACCTTGGGTCAATCACTTAGTGGCTCTGGGTCTCAGTTTCCATTACCATAAAGTAAGGGAGTGGAACTAGATGATCTCTTACATACCTTCCAGCTCTAAAATGCTAAGTATTGGTACAATTTCTGAATTACGTCCTTTAAAAAATTCTCTTTAAATACTCAAAAAAAAGGAGTTTATATGTGGCCAAGTCTTTTAATCTTAGTTGTTGCAGATATATTTTGCAATTAAAATGTGCCAAGGCTTGCTGTCAGCTAGCTCCCTCCACTCCACTTCTGGGTCACTAATTCATTCGACTAATATTAAATATTTGCCTTCTGTGTACAAAATATATGGTAGGAGCTGAGAGAGACTGGAGTTGAATAAAACAGTCTCTAGCCTCATGCAGTTTACAGTATAATAGATATATACAAACATCAGCATCCTTCCAGACTTGAAACCTTTTCATCTGATCACAGGATGGGAATGGGTAGGAAGACTGAGGGATAAACCTATCCAGTTACATTCACACATCCAAAAAAAAAAAATACCCAAAGGAGAGTTGTACACCAAAGAAACTTAAGAAGCCTGTGGAACCTCTTGGGTTTTGGAAGATAGTTTATGAGTTGACTGTAATACAGAATGTGCTATTTAAGAACATTTCCTCAAAAACAGAGACAACACTACCTTAAGAAAGGTGCATTGGGTTGTTTGCCCAGCAACAGAAATGGATTTTTCTCCATCCATACTTTTCTTCCCAATTCTTCTTGTGCCTCTAAATGTAAACTAGATTGTAGAAGGATGAATTTTCCCGGGATTGCTGTTCTTCACCGTATTTCACAAACAACATTAGGTTGTAACCAACTAAACAGATCTGCCAGCTGGAGAAGACTCCGGCAGAGGACGTTTTTCCTTTTCTTCCCCTTGTACCTTTCCTGTTGCCTGACTTTTCCTAGAGAGAGGATTCTATTTTTCTCTCTCCTCCATCATAATAGGATTGTGTTCATAAAACAGAAGGTACCATCACAAATACGCATAAGTCAAGGCCAGAGGAGAGAGAAGAGGGGGAGCAAGGAGAAGAATGGAATAAGGTGAGGGGAGGTAGAGAGGACTAGCACGCAGGTATGCATTGATCTGTAGCTGCATTGTATTTTAGATTTTCGCTATTCACACAAAAAAGGAGAGATTTATAGCCACTGGGATTTGGTTGTATTCTCACTTTGACTTGAGGGTTCGAGGCGGGTGAAAGGAACACCTGTATCTCTGCTTATTACACCTGCCAGCCGCAGGCTTCCAGGCAAGACTTTTCCCAATATCTCCACTAGAGCGGTGCAAAGGACGAAGACTTCAAGAACCAGCATGCAACACCGCAGTTGTCATCTATTAAGGTGCAAAGGCTTGCTTTGGAGCGGGAAGGATGGGGAAGGTTGGAGCAGTAGTAGTAGTAGTAGTAGTAGTAGTAGTAGTAGTAGTAGTAGTAGTAGTAGTAGTAGTAGTAGTAGTAGTAGTAGTAGTAGTAGTAGTAGTAGTCATCGTGGAGATCTGCTAGGCTGGTGTGAGGCGGGGAAAAGACGTCCGCACTGCATGTTGGGAACTGTAGTCATCGCGGGGGGGGGGGGAAGTGTCAGAGGACCCGCGCTGCATGCCGGGAATTGTAGTCTCCTCGCCGAGCTCCTCCCCGAGGTGGAGGGAGGACGGCGTTGATGGGGCCACCATTTTAGGCTTCGAAGGGGCCGCGGCCCGAAAGCCGAGGCCGGCTCCACTTCGGTGCCGGGCGGGCCCCGCCTCCAAGGGGACGCCTAGCAGCTGCCCCTCGTCGAGGCCCCGCCTCTCCCCACGTGTCCGCCTCGGGGAGGAGGAGCTGCCTCCTTCAAAGGAGTGGGAGCCGGCGGGCCGCCCGCGCTGTCTCTTGTGCTACTAGCCTGGGAAAGGCTTCGTCTCCGCCCGTCCTGTGTGTGCTCCCCAGGCCCCCGATGCTGTGGCGGTCCTGCCTCTGAACGGCTAGCCTGCCCCGGGTGTCGTTCTCCGAAGCGCCGGCGGGGGGAGCAGCGGCCTTCGTCGGGGCTTGCTTGGGAGAGAGAGCCGAGGCGGGGGGCGGGAGGGCCCCCACGTTCCGTCGAGACGCGGCGACCGCGGGGAGGAGGATGGGGGCGAATCAGCTGGTGGTTCTCAACGTGTACGACATGGTGAGTGCTGGCCCCTGCCCCCCTCCCCCCACCGCGGCGCGGCGCGAACCTGGGGAACCCCTTCTCCCCCCCTCCGTCAGTCTGGACCGGGCCCGCCGAGGATACCCCCTTTTCCCCGCGATGCCCAAGCTGCTTGAGCCCGGCCCATCCTGGAGCGTCCGCCCTGGCCCCGCCTCGACCCCCAGGCCGGGCCGGCGCGAGCTCCCGCAGCCCCCAGTGCGGTGTTTGAGGGAGCTCTGACACTCGGGCGCCAAACTCTCCCGGCCCTTCCCCCTCCGTCTCCGTCCCGGTCCGGCCTCCCCCGCTGCGCTCGCAGCCCTTCTCCACGCTCAGAAATCCTCCCCAATTCCTCCAGGTCCCAACTGTGGATATGCACACGCCACACACGCACACACGCACGAGATGGGGGTAATGCAACAGGTGGGTGAGGAGAGTCTGGAGATGAATTGTTTTCATCCTTGCACTTCGGGGAATTCAAAGCATTTAGGATCCAACGCCAAGGTCTGTTTTGACATATATTCGTGGAGGTTACTGTTGTGTTCTCTGTCAAAGAATTATGAAGGAACAAAATTAGTGAAGTGTACAAATAAAATTTAAACTTTTCTTGTAAGTAGATTGCCAATCAAACTGTAGGCACTTTTTCTTTAGTAGGAAGCAAAAGTTAGTGCTGCACAAAAGATCAGTAATTTCATCCCTGACTTCATAAAGACTCTGGATCAGCATTTCTTAGCTTTGATTTAGCAGCAGCTTGTAAGTATATTGTGACCACCTTTGTGGGAATGGGGTTCCCCATGTTTTTAGATGGATATGGTGGGGAAGAGATCTTTAAGGAGACTATTCATGACTGAAAGATAATGAAATGAAGAAGACATAACCCTTTGATAGTGGCAATTTGTCTGCGGTTCAAGGATTCACTTTAGGATTTGCAGATGCCCCTGTGCCTGTGACTTGGCATAAACTAACCACAAAGTGAGATAAAGATTGAGATTCCAGCATAAGAAAAGTCTGCACTTGTGAGCCAAAGCTAGAGCTGCAAGCAAAGCCAGGCTTGCCATGATACATCAGTAATGTCTTTATGATACACTGGTGTGTCCTGAATCTCTAGTTGGGAAATAACTTTCAAGATGTCAACTTTCTTTGTGTGCTTAGTTATCAAATGTTTTTCAAGACCCATGCCCTCTCAACTACTTCTTTTTAAAGTCCTTAAAACCGTTTATATGATTTTCATTATTTTCTACAATATGTAGTCATCTTCATGTGGTTTTTCCCCTCTCAACTCATAAAGACTACAACTATAATCCAGATTTATTCTGCTTTTCAGCCCATTAATCCCAGAGAGAGTAAGAATACATACTAGCAGTTGCCCTCAGGTCTAAGACCTAAAAGAAACTACACTAAGAGCAAGTAAACATTCTAATAAAGATTGGAAATATGTTCCTCTGTGTTTATTTAGGCTATAGAAGCTAATATGCAGCAAAGAATTATATAAAGAATTGTATTCTCATAAATATGGAAACGATTGGTAAAAATTTCCAAAGTGGCAAAAATATCTGTGATCTTGAAAAAGATCTTTGTGTGAGCTAGTAAAGGATAGTCTTAATCCTCAGGAGATAGTTCAAAACAGAGGCTACAGTGATTTGTCCATCTACCCACTACTAGAACCCAGATTTCCTGGCTTGCAGTGTAGCATTTATAGATCACATTTGAATCAGGTCAAATTTGGAACTTGTTTCTTCTCCGTAATATGATTCCCATCTTTACTTTGTTATAGTTTTAATCCATAAGAGAAGCATTTGAATGATTATCAGATGATCAATGGCTATTATTCAACTCTAAATTGTTTTAGCCTTCCTATTTGAAAGGCAGGGCTTCCTTTCAATTTATGAATTTTTCATAATGGGGTAAGGCATCTTTTTAGGCTTTTGTTTTGTTTTTTGCTCATTTTCTTGGTCCTTATCTTTCCTCTGACTCAGTTCACCTAGAGAAATTTTGGTTCTTGAAGTTTTAAACTATCATTTGGTCTTCTTTTGGTTTCAGCCCATCCTTAATTCCATTATATGTTATGGCCTGCATATTTAAGGAAGACTGTATATGTGTGCAGGTGTGGACTAGCTGTAATTTTCACAGTGTATATGTGAAAACAAACCTTTAGTTTGCAATTACGGTTGACAGGGCCTGTTGCCATTTTCAGCCATCTTTTTTGCTTCTCAGACTTCCATTTGCCTTGAGTTAGATCAAGCCCCAGTGTTTTCATTTATTGCATTCTTGATTGACCTCTTGTCTATTAACTCCTTCCCATAGAGAATCAGTGCAGTCCTCAAAGATTACCTAGACATCGGGAATGATGATATGGTATTATGTTATTTAATCACCTTAGTGATTAAATCCACTGAACTTAGTCAAAAGACTTGATTGAGTTTGAGCTTTGCCACTTGCTAGTTGTGAACCTAGTCAAATTGACTTACCTCTGAGTGTATATTAGGTATAATAATACTTAGATTAATTACCTTACAGGGTTATTGAAATAATTAAATGTGAATGCATATAAAGGGCTCTGTAAATTCTAAAAGTTTTCTATAAATGAAAACTGTTGTCTTCCTATTTGTGTAGGACTTGAGGGAAATTCCATCCTCCATAAAGTATGTTCTTGAGTTATTTTTCTCTATGTGGAAATTCATATTCAATAAACATTTAATACCTGCAGGGTATATGGTATACAGACATTGAGGATACACAGATGGAAAGGCCTCAAGAAACTTAGAAGCCAGTAGGGGGATAAGACCACACAAATTGATATATTATATATTAGGATATAATAAACACATAGGATCTAGTCCGGTGAGAGGTTTATGAGAAATTTGCAAAAGGCTTTATGGAAGAGGCAGCATTCTAAACTGTGTCTTGATGCAGTAAGCAAGAAGAGATGTAAAAAGAATCCTGTGTCTGGCTTAGAGCCACCTTGATACTGCCTAAATGTAAAGTTTTCAAGTGTGAGTATTTACACCTCAAATCAGCAAAGCCTACAAATCAGGACTTGATTTATTGTTTTGTTGATTTTCTAGATTTAAGAAAATAATCATGCAAATTAAATTTCAAAGTGTGCTATGAGCACTTTTTTCTGGAGAGACGGTTGTTAAACATTTACCAGCACCTCTGTGATCAGAGGACAGAAACAAAATTGCAGGGAGACAGGAAAAGGGGGAAACAATGTATGAAGGATAATTGGGGAGTGGGGGGGGGCAGGGATTGTGATGAGAAAAGCCTGATAATTTAGAGCCAAATTTTGGTAGGGTTAAATGTGCCCCACTCAGAATAAAACACTAATTATTCTAGCAAGGACCTGTTCTGCATTCAGGAAGACCTAGTTGCAGACACCTTCCTTCTCTGACATATTTTCTTAACCTCTCTGTGGCCCCATGCAATTTTCTAAGACTAACTTAGAGATCAGTTGCTCTCTGCATTTATGAAGGGAGTTTCCAAAACAATTTAATTTTCTACTTTGTGAATGTTTCCCACAGTTCCAGAATCTTATGTTCCCCCAAAATATGTGTGTACATGCATGTATGTGCATAATATATATCCATCCATGTCCTGTAGACAGTGGGAACTGATGAAAGTGGCTACTAAAGTAATTTTTTCTTGAAGCCCTGATCTAATCATGTTAGTCAACTTAAGGCTCCATACTACCTCTAGGGTCAATTTTAAACTCTGGTGTAAAGATGGAAGCAACTAAACAACTTGAGTTTGAGGTGGCTGTGAGACATGCAAGTAGACATAGTCCTACTGTTTGAGTGGGATATAGAGCAAAGCAAGTGATTAAGATTCCCTGGAAAGAGGGACAGCTAGGTGGCACAGTGGATAGAGTGCATGGGCTGGAGTCAGGGAGACTCACCTTCCTGAGTTCAAAACTGGCCTCAGACACTTACTAGCTGAATTAACCTTTGTTTGCCTCATTTTCCTCATCTGTAAAATGAGCTGGAGAAGGAAATGACAAACCACTCCAGTATCTTTACCAAGAAAACCCCAAATGGGGTCACAAAAGTCGGACACGACTGAAAAACAACTGAACAACCACAACTATGGAAAAAATGTTAAATTTGGAATCAGAGAACCTGGGTTTAAATTCTGCCTCTTACACCACCTTTGTGACCTTGAACCCTTAAGTCACTTAACTTCTCTGGCTTTCGGTTTCCTCATTTTAAGATGTGAGAGGCTGGTCCAGAGGGCCTCAGGGGTTAGTTCCCATTCTAAATCTTTGATTCAGTATTAAAGTCTTTGTTTCTCTAAAGTCTTTTCATATATCCTATATGTAGACAGTCATACCTGCAATACAAGTGGGGACAAATTGGTCTTAATTGTTTTCCTACATGGAATGTGGGCCTTTTAAATTATTTTTAGCCACTTAATCCAGTGTCAGGCAGTAGTGGGTCAACATTTCCAGAAGTGTACTAACAACAAAATTTCGCTTACCCAGGCTAACTCTAAATTGCCTTCACCCAATCCACAAAAAACCTAAAATAAGCTATAATAGACATGTTCTTTCCCTAGGGGACCCTTCTGAGGCAGGAGAGGAGCTTTGATTGTACTAAGATCATTATTTCCTGTATATGTCTTAAGTTCCACCAAAAATATTAGTAGTTGGAAATATGGATGTTCTGTGTGTCTGTGTTTCCCTGAGATTTGATTAGGTAATCTTATTAGGAAAGGTTTAAATTATTTGGTACTATTGGTTCCTATTCCATCTAGCACTTTAATTCTCTTTAAACACCTGAGAACACATTTCCCAAGTGTTTCTTTATACTTCTAGTCTTATATCCAAATGTTACCTATATATTATATAGATTTGTGAATTCAGATGTCAGGATTACATAGGTAAGTTTACATAGACTGTGACCACAGAAATGACCAAGAAAAGAATGTAGCATAAGAAATATCTCCCTTTTTATACATTGCTCTCTTACAGTTGTACAGGTCATAGGATCGTAGGCTCATCTTCTTAG